GGGCTCGGCCATCCAGCCAGTTCCTCACCCGAAGGAGTAAACCTTCGTTTACTCAGCGAAGAGTAAACCTGTCTAAGCCAGGAGCCACCAGTTTCTCCAGGAGAATGCTGTGGGAGACGCTGTCAAAGGCTTTACTAAAGTCCAGGTAGACAACGTCCACAGCCTTTCCCTCATCCACTAGATGGGTCACCTGGTCATAGAAGGAAATCAGGCTGGTCAAGCAGGACCTGCCTTTCATGAACCCATGCTGGCTGGGCCTGATCCCTTGGTGGTCCTTCACATGCCCTGTGAGCACTCTCAAGATGAACCACTCCATGATCTTCCTGGGTATGGAGGTCAGGCTGACAGGCCTGTAGTTCCTGGGAAATCACCATTCTTGCTAATGCTTAAAAGAATAGGGTTGTTCATGTGCCATCCTCTTGGAGCTAGAAGTGAAATATAGGCATAAATATTTGTGGCATCAGTGGCTAAAATTTATATTTTCTTCATAAATGCAGAGTTTTTTTGAATGTACAAAGTCTTTGTCAGTTAAAAATCACATATTTCTATTTTCAAGTGACAGTTTTGGATTTGTTTCAGCAATATAGTGAAATTTTACTTTTATGAGATAAATATATTTTTTAAAATGCTTCCAAGACCCTATTTAAACTAAAAAATAATTTTCACTGTGAATCTTTGATAGAAGACTGTCTTTGAAGCAGTTCTGCTAACTTGATGGGAATGCTGTTGATTTGCAAAGCCAAAATAAGCCCTTCTCATTATTTTTATAAATGACTTTTTGATGTCTCATACAGCCATACACTAATATGTAATTGTGCCTTTGGCATTAGGGAACTTTTTGACAATAAATTTTCTTAGTAATGTCTCTCTTTTTTATAAAGCTATACTGGGAAGTAGGAAACCACATAAACAAGTACAAAGCATTCTCATTCAGCAGCGTAGGACAATGCAATGGGGAAAAGAGACTTAGCAGTAATAAATGAAAACTATTTAAATTCCTTTAAAAGGAAAAATAAGACAACCATACCTGTTAGACTCTAATTCAGCTGTGTGCATTATTTAAAAAGGGGAAGGAAGGAGGAGGGTGGTGTTTCCAGGTGTGTCTTCCCAAGCCATCAAGCTGATCTAGTCAAAATGGCTTCCAGACCTTAATTTGATACAAATAACAGGGAAGGGATAGAACTCTGCTGCTTTGGATTGTGGCAGTTTGAAAGCATGTTTCTGTGAAGCTCTTTAAAAATTCCTTTGGGAATGGACTGTGTATGACATGTATGGGTAATTGGCCCTTTCAGCTTCTTTGGTTTATCTGTACTGCTGTATTAAGACTGTCACTTGTGGGAATAACTCTTAGTGCTAGGGGACACTTGTTCTTAGGACTTCCCTTACAATGCAAAATAGGCTTATAAGGACTGCGCTAGGAAGATTATGGTCATCTGATCAGAAGTACAGATTTTCTTTTTTACTGTTCCCCTTAACCACTTTCCATTAGAAAGATGGATTTTGCAGTCAAAAATAGCTGCATGGCACAGCCAACTCTTTTCTGTTCAAATAAATCACATTCATCATTATTTCCATGCAGTGTTTTCATGAAGGGTTTATGTTACAAACTAAGAGAAAAATATTCATATGATAACAGTCATATTTTCATAGATGGGTTCTGGTTTGTATATTGATCTCCAGAAAAGGAGAATATGACTTGCTCAAAATCTTCTCATTCGGCTTTTAGCAGAAAGTTTGAATATACAAGCATATCTATTTTGTAAGCAGTAACACCTTGCCTTAGTGTTTCAGTACAAACGTTTTTCATATATACTAAATAAAAATGGAAATTTTACTACAATTAAAATGCAGGTTTTCTTGCTTTCATTAACAGATGATCTCTTCTCAATGCACTTCATGGTCTTGGCGTTTGATAGAGTTAGGGCCTCTCCAGAGTCTTTTGTACCAAAGACTACTTCAGCTTCAGAGGAAGACGTGAATTGAGCTTAAATAAGTAAAACACACATCTTACCTAGTCTTTATTTGCCATCCTGAAAAAGGAGCTAGTGCACAAATTTGGTGCAACTTCCTTTAAACAGCATTTTCATAAATTATTTTTGTATCTTCATATTCATCAGTCAGACCAGTCTGCACTGTGACTACAAGCAAACTGTAGTACATAAAATAACTAGATATTAATATCTATGATTGCAGTGTGGCCTAGATGGTGGAGTTAATAGGAGAACTTATTTGAATGTTTATGAATTTGAGAAGGAAGAGTATCTCTCTGGGCATTGGAGCAGAATATACATTTAAAGACTCTAAGGACTTAGAAGGGATGGATCACTATTGGAAGACTGGATTTTTATATTTGTTAATTCAGTAAAGTGGGGTTATTTCCAGGTGGAGGAATAGTGACAGCGTGTGAGTAGATTCTAACACCTGTTGTGAACACAGGGAAATGGGCCGGAAGAGTCTGGTGGCCTAGTGTGGTAGAACTGGCTGGCGTAGAAAAATAAAGACATCCTGTGTCTAGCTTGGGCAAGCTGACAAAAGTGTTCATTTGCTAGAATTATAAACAAACTCAACTTTGTTCACATGGTATATGTACATGTTCTACAGTAATTAAGCTGTGTTTGTAAAAATTTTTTTCATATTACACCTGGTTGTCTAGACTGCTGCCAGTGTCTGGTTCTTTGGGATTATGAAACCAAAGCAAGTGTTATTCTTAGTTTAATAGCTAAGAATAGGAAAAGAATATTTAGGAGCAGACGAAGAATTAACACTTTCTCTTCTGAAGACCTGGAAGAATATAAGGGACATGAGGAACTTCACCAGGCTTCACTATATATCTAACTTGTTTTTCTGAGCGATTCCTTATTCTCACTCTTAACTGTGGTGTTCAGGAGTGCAGGTTTTTTTCTTTAGATATACAGTTTGTCATTATTCAGACTTGAGAATTTTAGATTTTCTTTTTCTGTCTGTGCTTAAGTGACATATGAAACTTTTTTATAATGAGACTTCTAACATATAATAAAGGCCCAGAGATAGTAATTTATGTAGATACTGGAAAGTTCAACTAAATTATTTTGCTGTTTGACCTAACTGTGTGTTCTGTAAATTTTACAGGTGCACATGTGAATGAAGAGGACTTCTTGTTGTTGGAGCTCTTGGACTGGTTTAAGAATGACTTTTTTCATTGGGTAAATAATCTTCCTTGCAGCAAGTGTGGTGGGCAGACAGAGCCTAAAAGTGACTACCTGTTGCCTACTGATGATGATCTAAGGTGGAACGTCAGTCGAGTGGAAAATCATTACTGCAACCAGTGTCAGTTCTGTAATAGATTCCCAAGGTGAGCATAAAAGGATTTGGTTTGTCTTTTTTCTTGTCTTTCAAGAAACAGCTTTGCATTTGTGCTTTTTGTGAACAAGTGATAAATGGTTAGTTGGAAGATTGGGGAAGCTGTTTTAAGCAACATGATAGGATGGTTGATGAACCAGCAATTGCTTTATAAGATTAGAGATTTTTAAAAACAATGTATTACTTTGTTTTATGTGGTCTTGTTCTGAATACTTGTCTGATTTTTCTTTTTTTTTTTTTACTGTTAATTTGATAAAGTACAACTTCTAAATAAAATGCATTAGTAGTGGCATAGTATGTAGGTAGGCTGTTGGAGGTCACAAAGTGTAATGCACATCTTTTACTAACTATCAAAAGGACCAGCATATAAAATTCGTACTTTAAGATGAAGTCTAAGTCAATTTTGAAAACTGAAAAAAACAGATTCGTTTCAGTGCTTCTATAAACATGTGACAGAGTCATGTGAGTCAAAATGAACGTAAGAGTTCTGCTCACACTTGTTTTGTTCGGTTATCTTCTGTGGACTGAATGGCACTGAAATATGCTCAAATAATCACAAGGACAGTCATGACATAAAGATTTTGAAAGGTGAAATGTATTTTCAGTTCTTCTGGTTTTGTTTTGTTTTTCTCCTGTAGGTATAATAATCCTGAAAAACTTCTGGAAACCAGATGTGGACGCTGTGGCGAGTGGGCTAACTGTTTCACACTGTGTTGCAGAGCTGTAGGGTTTGAAGCTAGATATGTCTGGGACTGTACAGGTATCAGTATTCTAGAATATCGTTAATATAAACCTGTGCAAAATGAGGTCATATATTTTATGGTTCTGAGATTATATTAGCCATCAGGCCACATACAACGTTATGCAGTTCAGCTAACAAAGACAATGAAAATTCAATTTTCTGTCTTGCCTGATGAGATGAAATAGAGTTCTGCAAGTAAGGTTACATGACTGACTTCAGAATGATACAGTCTTTAGTTGAATCTAAGGGAACACCCTAACAGAGAAAGAGAAAGCTCTGGTAACCTTTTTGAATGTAGATGAAGAAAAAACATGTTCTTTCACATGTTCCTTCATTTAATAAATCAGGAAAAGTTACAATATTCTACAATATTAGGAGAGGATCTATCCTTATAATTAATTGTTTATTCTTGGCCTTTGTTATATAGATCATGTGTGGACTGAAGTATATTCTTCATCTCAGAAAAGATGGCTTCACTGTGATCCGTGTGAAAATGTCTGTGATAAACCTCTCCTCTATGAAACTGGGTGGGGCAAGAAGCTCTCCTACATAATTGCATTCTCCAAAGATGAGGTAAGAATAATGATGTTGAATAAAAACCAGACTCGCCCTGAGGTGTGTGATGTATTCCATCTTAGTGTGATTTCCAGAATTGTTATAGAAAAACATACTTTGGTTAGCTAGCCTCTTTAAATGAAGCAAGATGCATGGAAATTTTTGGTTGCTTTATTTTCTTCTTCAACTTGTGCTTGAGGTTGTTGATGTCACCTGGAGATACAGCTGTAAGCATGAAGAAGTACTCTCTAGAAGGACAGCACTCAGTGAAGCTACACTACGTGAAACAATTAATGCGCTAAATAGAACGGTATGTAGCTTTTCTTAAATGGATTTCTTTAAGTGAAACATAAGTGTCTTTCCAGAATGTGAAGTCCTTGAACAAAGGAATTAATTTGGTAACCTGACAGGAATGTCCATGCACCATGGAATGTAAAATGCTGCTAACTGTAATGTCACTTTACACTGAATACTTAAGAATCAGTCACAGTGCTGAATGTAGGTGAAAAAAGATAAAGAATGGTATGTAAAAGGATTATCATATTATCTCTTACATAGTCAAATGTCTGTGTATATACAGTGTGTGTGTATATAAAAAATATATACCGTGTGTATTGGATTATTTTTTTCTTGATGGCTTTGGAGTAGACGTGCACATCAACAGATGTTGGGGGTACACTACAGCTGCTTTTTAACAATGTGGGCTACTTGAGGGCAGCTGAGCATTTTCCACATCAATAATGCTAAACTTGAAAACAATAGTATTTATAGTTACAAGAAATGTAAGCCTAATTTGTTTTCCATGACTTTTTACAAGCTCTAGGAAGCAGGAGGAATGATTCACAGGCTGTTTCCAAAACTTCCAAGAAGTAAAGCTTCTCGAACTCTCCATCAGTAGAGCTTTGGTTCAGACCCACATATACTGTTCGTGCCTAACGTCCCCAAAACACATGGAGCCGTTTGCATTTCCATGTCCTGGTCACAGAACCCCAGTGCATTCAGCACCTCTCTGCTAAGCTTTTTCTACTCCCTGCTTGGGACAGGATGAACTTTTCTTGACTCGATATACTAGAATACCACAAAGCCTTGAACCACCTGTAAGGTTCCATTTTTGTCCCCTCTTCCTTCCAGGGCTAATTCCTGTGCATAGAAACTTTAATTCCTGTGACAGTATACAGCTGATGGCTTAATAAACAGTTTATGCCTTTTTAGAGGTCTGCTGTGGTTATAGCCACACACAAAGAGTGTGAAGAATTGAGCTGGATTCATGATTTCAAGCCCTGGCCTCAAATCTTTTATCAGTAATGAAAAATAAGAGTCACATAGCATTGTGGAGCACTGAGAAGGCTGACCACAGAGTAGCAAAATAAAAGGAAGTAAAGGATCAGAAATTCAAGTTGAAGAATACATGTGCTTTGTGCAGGTTTGTGGGAATTTAATGGTGTCCTCTCTGAGCATTGATCCCTTGCTGGCTGCAAAACTGATCTTGAGGTGCCCTTCTTCTGACCTACTGGCAATAGAAACCAGTCACCAGAGTCTTCTCCACCAGTTGTCCATAGGGAGAGATAACCTTGGAAATGAGGTGCTAGTAAATTGAAAAAATATTCTGACACGATTGATGGAATCAGGAAAGTATAAGCAACTAACTCACGGGCTGGCTTGCCTGACCTCCTTCTCACCTCAATAATGTCAACATAGGATCATGCTCTGTTTCGCTTACAGCTGAGAACTTACTAGAGAACTCCAGTAAAGAACCGCGTTGCCATCTCCAACAGATGGTGCTGCACATTGGCCTATTGGCTTGTCTCTTATTTTTTCCACATACTTTTCAGGACTGTGCAGCTCATGAGCTGACATGAGCACTTAGTTCTAACAGAAAGAATGGACATTCTGGTCATGTTTTAAATGAAAATTTAATTAAAAAACAAGTGTAAGGCAGAAGGCAATAAATGCACTTCCAAGACACTCTTCTGTTTCTTCTATATTCCTCTCTCTACATGTGGAAAATCTTCTCTTTGCTGGATGATTTGCCTACTGCTTCCCTACTGCTTTCCAGTATTATTAAAGCTGTCTTGTGATTCTATTAGAACGCTTTTGTCTGTCTTTTTGATGGTATCTTGTTTGAGGAACAACTTAACTCTTGTTTTATACAAGCTGAATGATACTCATGCTCCCCTCCTCCTACACATACTTCATTTGCTCAGTAGCTGTTTAGAATGTTTGATTAATTTATTAAATTGATAACAAATTTAATCCCTGTAAGTAACTGCTCTTACTCCTTTTTTTTCTTTTGTCTGTTGTGGTTGGAATTGGATTTCAGGAACTTAGAGGCAGTTTGCCAGCAGATTGCTAAAAGAACAGTTTTTCTTTCTTACATTTGTCCTAGTCAAAAGGCCTTTCCTAAAGTGCATACTAAGGCAAAAATGCAGAGGGAGTCAGGGGGCCATTAAAAAGTTGCTGTCTTAGGATCTCCATGTCATAAAATGTCAATAAAAGGAAATGGCCTCAAGTTGCACCAGAGGAGGTTTAGATTAGATATTAGCAAAAATTTCTTCACCGAGAGAGTGGTCAAGCATTGGAACAGGCTGCCCAGGGAGGTGGTGGAGTCACCATCACTGGAAGGGTTCAAAAATTATGTGGATGTGGCATTTCAGGACATGGTTTAGTGGGCATGGTGGTGTTGGGTTGATGGTTGGACTTGATGATCTTGAAGGTCTTTTCCAACCTTAATGATTCTGTGATACTCAACAGCTTCTGCGATCAATAGAGGGGTAAGGCAGCTCACCCCTAGAACTATAAAGACATTTTATAGCAGGTTTCTATTCCACTGCTCAGTCACAAGTCTCCATTTCACAGTATACCGTTTCCTTCGCTGCAACCTATTCAGCAGATAACTGATGTAGTCAAAGGCCTCTGCTAACTTTCCCTTTTCCCATCGTGTCCTAGAGACTTGTTCCCCACTAGGAGGGATTGTAGTCCTGATGTCTTTTGATGCAGAGCTCCAACGCTGCATCTTTCAAGCTCAGTTCTTCCGAGTTGCAATTAAAGAGAAGCACAGTATGCAGTATACATTATCACCTATACTGCAATGTTAGTGAAAATGGAATCTAAGATACCATTATTGTGCTTTCCTGCATATGAGCAATGACTCTAGTCATTATTTCTCTGCATATCTGTCTGTTTAGTGGCCAAATGGAGATAACACAACAGTTCAAAGGATGTCGAGTGACTGTTGCTGTTAAATGGAAGAGGCAAGGTTAATTTAATCTGTTTAGGACACTATTTTACTTCTCAGAAATACTTTGTGTGTTTTATTTGGGTTAGGCATTCCCAAATGGGTGTGTAGCCAACCATCTGATGTCATTCTGTAGTACCGTATCACACTCTGACTACAAAACTTTTCTTTACCCTGCTTTGTATAGGCACTGCTCTATTCCAGTCCATTATATGTTGCCTCTATAGAAAATGAGAAGAGGACCATGAACTTTCACTGCTTTCATTGGCAGTTGAAGAGTGGGCAGGGAAACAAATTATTTTTTTATTTGCTCCAGGCCCCATTTTTTGGTAGTGATTGTGAATGATTATAGCTACAGCCAGGTCAGATCTTAAAATGAAAACTAGTAATTTAGGTTGAGTTGTGACCATGTCATGATGATTGATGTGAGATGAACCAGTATTCCTTGTTTAAAGGTTTGAATTCAATTTCTACCCTCAAATTAACTGTTGCTTACCCAGCAGTAGGTCCACTTAAATCACAGGTTATCCATCTCCCAAAGCACAGTTCTTCGGGAAGCATCAACAGCATAACTCAGATATGATGCAGAACTGATATTAAAACTTCAGTTCATAACGCCTCTTCCTTCCTATTTGCTCTGTTGGCCAAAGAAAGGTGAGCATGTATGTAGAGGGTAATACCTTAAGAAAAAACAAAAGCAGGAAGTTTGAGCCATGACAGTTGATACTGGAGTTCTTGGAATCTGCTTCAGTACATGGGTGGTATTGATGACAGTGTCATTCATAGGAAATGTTGTTACATGTTTTCCCAGCACAGGCAGTGTTGATCTCTGCAGACTCTGAGCATTACGCATGTCTTACAGGCTGCTAGTATTTATATGCAAGAGTCTACTGGAGGCGTGGGGAGATGACAAGAATTAGTGTACTTGTACTCTTTACAGTTGAGGAACTTACTCATTTCTTGTATCGTGCATAAAAGGCCTGTCTTCTGAAACAGAAGCACTGTTGTGTTGAAGCACTGTTCTTAAGCAGGTTTTGGTTTTTTTTCCAGATACTGTTATGACAGCTGCAGAGCAAGGGCAACCAGTTCTCAGTGTGGCATCACTGATTTCTTCCCTACATCAAAGGGTCTCAAAGAAAATTGTAGATTGGTATTGATAACTTAGGGTAAGCCATACCAAACTTCCTCTGAGTTGGAGTGAGTTCTGTAGTACTGCATATGGATATCCAAAGTATAAGCAACTGTTAGACTCAGGAAGGCCTGGTGTTTCACAAGGAACTGCTGCAGTCACTGCTTGTCATCCATCAACACAAGCAGAGGTGTATTTCCCCCTTGCTGTGCTAGAACTGGTACTTATTCAGCTGGAATTTGTTTAGCTGGAGCTGTTTCTCATAATTTCTCTGTATCTACTTTCCTTTATCCAGTTTCACATTGTTGTCTGGAACAAAAACCCTTCAAATGCCTCTCTTCTGATCCCTAATAGCAAAATTTTGTGGGGTCAGGACTGCTTTTGAGATAATTGGAATACTTATTGGCCTGAAGTTTCAGGTCCTAGTGGACTGAGTGTGCATGCCTTGGGCAATCACCAAAATATTAAAAAAGATTATGTGTAATCATTTGCATACTCAATGTTGAACTTATTTTTCCAACCCTGTGCGGGTGTATCCACAGTTAAGGAAAAAGACTTCACATATCAGCTCTGTATATTTGATGGGAAAATCATGGAGACAAAACGCCAGCTTCTCAATGAATTTTTTGTAAATTGTGTATCAAAAAAATGCCCATAGTTTTATTTATGTGGACAAAGAAAGCTATAAGCTCTTCAGAAGGGATAGGCAAGGAAGGAGAGGCAGTGGGGTAGCCCTGTATGTTAGGGAGTGTTTTGATTGTCTAGAGCTTAATGCTGGTGACGATAGGGTTGAGTGCTTATGGGTAAGAATCACAGGGAAGGCCAACAAGGCAGATATCACAGTGGGAGTCTGTTGTAGACCACCCAACCAGGGAAAAGATACAGACGAAATATTCTATAAGCAGCTGGGAGAAGTCTCACAATTGCTAGCGCTTGTTCTCATGGGGGACTTCAGCTTAGAAGACATCAACTGATGTCTGCTGGAAATACAACACAGCAGAGAGGAAACAGTCTAGGACGTTCCTGGGGTGTGTGGAAGAGAACTTCCTGACACAGCTGGTGAGTGAGCCAACTAGGGAAGGCTCCCCGCTGGACCTGTTGTTTGTGAACAGAGAAGGACTTGTGGGTGATATGACATCTGGAGGCTGTCTTGGGCATAGTGATCACAAAATGACAGAGTTTTCAATTCTTGGAGAAGTAAGGAAGCGGGTGAGCAAAACCGTTACCTTGGACTTCTGGAGGGCAGACTTTGGTGTGTTTAGGAGCCTGGTTGACAGAGTCCCTTGGGAGGCAGTCCTGAAGGGCAAAGAAGGAGTGCAGGAAGGCTGGATATTCTCAAGAAGGAGAACTTAAAAGAGCAGGCTGTCCCCATGTCCTGAAAGATGAGCTGGTGGGGAAGAAGACTGGCCTGGCTGAACAGAGAGCTTTTATTGGAACTCAGGAAGAAAAGGAGAGTTTATGACCTTTGGAAGAAGGGGCAGGTTAACACAGAAGGATGACAAGGATGTCATGAGGTTATGCAGGGAGAAAGTGACAAGGTCTAATGCCCAACTAGAACTTAATCTGGCTACTGCTGTAAAAGACAATAAAACATGTTTCTATAGATACATTAGCAACAAAAGGAGACGTAAGGAGAATCTCCATCCCTTACTGGATGCGGGGAGGAAACATAGTGACAAAGGATGAGGGAAAGCCTGAGGTACTTAATGCTGCCTTCGCCCCAGTCTTTAATAGTAAGACCAGTTGTTTTCAGGATTCCCAGCCCCCTGAGCTGGAATACAGGGGTGGGGAGCAGAATGAAGTCCCCATTATCCAAGGGGAAATGGTTGGCAATCTGCTAAACCACTTAGACACAAACAAGTCCATGGGCCTGGATGGAATCCACCCAAGGGTACTGAGGAAGCTGGCAGAAGTGCTCACCAAGGCATTTTCCATCATTTATCAACAGTCCTGGCTAACTGGGGAAGTCCTAGTTGACTGGAGGTTAGCAAATGTGATGCGTATCTACAAGAAGGGCCAGAAGGAGGATCCAGGGAATTACAGGCCTGTCGGGTGACCTTAATGCTGGGGAAGGTTATAGAGCAGATCATCTTGAGTGCCATCACACAGCATGTATATGACAACCAGGTGATCAGGCCCAGTCAGCATGGATTTTATGAAAGGCAGGTCCTGCTTGACCAACCTGATCTTCTATGACAAGGTGACCCGCTTAGTGGATGAGGGAAAGGCTGTGCATGTTGTCTACCTGGACTTTAGTAAAGCCTTTGATACCATTTCCCACAGCATTGTCCTGGAGAAACTGGCTGCTCATGGCTTGGGTGGGTGTGCTCTTCTGGGTAAAAAACTGGCTGGATGGCTAGGCCCAGAGAGTTGTGGTAAATGGATGGTGGCTGGTCACAAGTGGTGTTCCCCAGGGCTCAGTACTGGGGCCAATTCTGTTTAATATCTTATCAATGATCTGGATGAGATGATTGAGTGCACCCTCAGTAAGTTTGTAGACACCAAGTTGGGCGTGAGTGTTGATCTGCTTGAAGGTTGAAAGGCTCTACAGAGGGAACTGGACGGGCTAGATCGATGGGCTAAGGCCAGCTGTATGAGGTTCGACAAGGCCAAGTGCCGGGTCCTGCACTTGCGTCACAACAACCCCATGCAATGCTACATGCTTGGGGAAAAGTGGCTGGAAAGCTGCCTGGTTGAAAAGGATAAGGGTGTCGGTCAACAGCCATCTGAATATAATCCAGCAGTGTGGCCAAGAAGGCCAACAGCATCCTGGCTCGTATCAGAAATAGTGTGGCCAGCAGGACTAGGGAGATGATTGTCTCCCTGTACTCAGCACTGGTGAGGCTGCACCTCAAATACTGTGTTCTAGTTTTGGGCCCCTCACTACAGGAGAGACATTGACATGCTGGAGTGTGTTCAAAGAAGGACAATGAAGCTGGTGAAGCGTCTAGAGCAGGGTCGTAAGACTTGTGTCTTATGATGAGCAGCTGAGGGAACTGGGGTGGTTTAGCCTGGAGAAAAGGAGGCTGAGGGGAAGCCTCATTGCTCTCTACAACTACCTGAAAGGAGGTTGCAATGAGATGGGTGTTGGTCTCTCCTCCCAAGTAACAAGTGATAGGACAAGAAGAAACAACCTCAAGTTGCGCCAGGGGAGGTTTAGATTGGATATTAGGAAAAATAGGAAAAATTTCTTCACCAAAGGGGTTGTCAAGCATTGGAACGGGCTGCCCAGGGAAGTGGTGGAGTCACCATTCCTGGAGGTATTTAAAAGATGTGTAGATGTGGTGTTTAGGGACATGGTTTAGTGGTGGACTTGGCAGCGTTAGGTTAACGGTTGGACTTGATGATCTTAAAGGTCTTTTCCAACCTAAACAATTGTATGTTTCTATGATTCTATGTGGCATATAATTCATTTTCTTTTCCACTAATTTACCTGGAAGCATAGGTGATAAGTTTTTCTCAATTTTGTTTATGACAGAATCAGTCACTGTGAAATAACTCTTTCAGAGAACAACTGAATCTTCTGTTTGGCTTAATCACAAAAACAAAACTGTTGTCAACCAAATCACTCCACCTTAGAGAAGTTTGACCCAATAGTTACGCTTGCTTTTTCTTTTCCCGAAATAATATCAAGAACAGCTATGGTACAGAATACATATGAATAGCTATAAAATATGCTATGCAAGTGTTTTATCATCCAAGCAAATGCATTATAAACATAGTGCAAACATCACTTTAAAAGAAATCTAAATAGTTAATACATGCAAGTGCACAGAAAAAGCACCACTGTTGAATAACCATGCAGTTATGACTGATTTATATTTGCATGTGTGGTATAAGATTAGCATTTCTAACAGTCAGCCTAGACTATAAATATTAGTCTGTTTTTTCAATTCTTTTTGCTATTGGTGTCATTCTAGAGCAGAACTACAAATACCTTTTTTCTGATTTTTTTAACTTTTTTTCTTAAATGTGTTTTCAGAGACAACGATATTTGTCAGAAAATAGAAAAAGAGAGCTCTTGGAAAGAACAATTGTGGAGCTTGTTGAATTTATTTCTCCTAAAACGCCTAAACCTGGAGAATATGGTGGAAGGACATCAGGTTCAATGGCTTGGCGAGTAGCCAGAGGTGAAGTTGGTCGAGAGGTATTTAACTTTTGCACTGGTGACCATCTTAGAGGTAGCTAACTAGAGGTTCTATGATTATGGTCTGCAGAGGAACAGCAGTTCATGGTAGGTAGTTCATGAACAGATTTAGTTCAAATAGTGAGACTTGCAGAAACGTTAGGTGCAAGTTTGATGTGAATTCAGTAGAGGTCCACAAGTAATTTTTGAGGATTAATGGTGTTCTATTGATTCTAAAAATGTTTGGGAATCCTTGATCTGAAGTGTGTTTTGCTCTTACAAGTTAATAAAAAAAATACTTGATTTCCTTTTAATTAGTTACATTGTGATAGAACTAGAAAGTTTAAGGCAGTTGAAAACAGTTGGGAAAACCTTAAAGAATGTTTGTCTGTAGTATGAGTTACTATTGGTTAAAGCCTAAAATTAGGTTTTGACCAACTATTTTTGTTAAATCAACAGTGTGGGAGCAATTAGGATTGTGTAAGTAGAACAATCTCTTCAATAATAAGCGCAGTTGATATGAGAATCAATGTTTTTGACTATTTCTGAAAGCAAGATTTTATTTTTAATTATTTTATGCCAAAATACACTTTCCCAGAACCATAGCCATATTTAGCTTGAGCCAGCATGCAAATCTGGCTTTTACTTAAATTTTATTCTCTTACTTAAATTTTCTAGATTTATGTTATTTTTTTAATAATTTACTTCAAAAAGTAATTATGTGAAAATTTTAAAAATAAAATTAGTGCTCCCCTCTGGAAAAGGTGCAGGTCTACTGTAGGAAACAGGTTTAAATCTTTTGTTTTGCAGAAATGCTTTTTTCCATGACCTTTCTTAAAATTATTTTTTTTTAGTTGGCAGCAAGACTGAATTGAGAACCCATGGCATGCTGTTTAAAAGTATCATAATCTTACTGAAATGTATTGGGGAATGAAGGTGCTTGTATCTTTTGCCTTTTTCAGAAAAGAGAAGAAGTAATTTTTATTCCCTCTGAAAAAGAGAAGACATCGAAACTCTTCCACCTCATCTACAATATAGTAGAAGATAGTTATACACGGATTTCCAATAATAATGAAAAAATAACTGGCTGGGAAACAGGTGTTTGGAAGGCAGAGTCTATTTGGAGAAAGGTTGAAACAGACTGGAAAATGGTAAGGATAACAATTATTAAAAGCATAAAATCTACTGTAAAAGTATAACTCCAATAAAATAGAAAACCCTTGCCAATGTTTGGCATCAAAACCTCTCTTGGTGCCCACAGAATGTAGCTGATGTTAGTAAATGTTACTGTTAAACTTTAGGTAAGATTGCCAGATGATTGAAGAAATTGTAAATAAATTTATCTTGTCTTTCAGAAAGGATGACCAAATTCTCTGCAGATAGGTAAAATCCTTGCTAGAGCACCAAATTAAAAAAAAAAAAAGCTTCCTTCTTATGCTTTTGGACAAGTGCACAATACTGTTTTATTGAAAAGCAGTACTTCTCTTCAAAGCACGTTTTTTATTTGTTTGTTTTGGAGAATAGCTTTATAATGTATCATATCTCTGATGCATAACCAAAGGAAGAAATCGTCATCCTAAGTGTTATAGTTGCATCTGCAAGAAGGCAAAACCTGTCAGTTATCCAGTTTACTCTATACCCTGCCCAGACTCCTTCCCATCTGTCAGGACACTGAGCAGCAGCAGAATCATATGCTCTATATCTAAGAGAATGATGCCTGTAAAATGGGAAGGGGTCATTTACTAGCAAACAGCGTTTTCCGGAACAGCTACCAACTGTGGAACTGAGCATTCCTGTCAGGGACTATAGCATGTTACTGCTTTGTTCCCCTGTCATTTTACTAGTCTGAAAGGTTCTCTGGCCAAACATTCGTCTAGCTTAGGAAATTGTTTGTTTCCCGTTAATGGGAAATGGAGCTAAGTATATAACTGTCTTCTGAGGTTTTCTGTGCTGTGTCTATACGTAACTGACTTGCAAAATGCAATGGGGGAATAGCTTGGAGAGGTTATTCTACATAAAAGAGAATTAATAAGGGAAGAAACTGGAGAATAATATAAAAGATATTGCAAGAAACGTACTGTCTTTGCACTGAAACAAATTACAAGTTTGCTGTTCTGCTCAGCTCTACTAATCAGGTAAAACAGGGAGGGACTGATCTGTAAGGCCAAGCAAAAAGAGTTTACCCTTGTGTTCAACAGCACCTCATTTTTTTCTAGATAAAGAATGAGAGGATGACATTGAGAAATTAGATGCTACAGATCCAGATATATCTCAGACTTGTTAAAGCATGTTGGTTCTACAGGAATAGCATACTGCAGAAAGTCTGTGTATGAATCTAAAATTACTTTTTGTTGTGGGTTGTTTGTATTATGGGAGACAGCAGAGGGAAAGGTTGTTTGGGGTTTGCCTATTCTTTTTCTAATGCCTCAGGTAGATCTGCAGGGTATGGATTTGGAGTTTAATTCAGCAGCTGTCCAGGAAACTTACCAGCCAAAGGAGCCTTCATAGAAATATTTTGTTTATCATTTACTATGTGAAGAATGGAAAGGAATTTAAATATAAAAGCCACAGTAAAGGTAACTATAGGTATTAGCCCAGGAGTAACAGAAAAAAAAAATCAGTTACGTATTTTGTCTTTGCAATGTTGTTGATCAAAATGATTCAGACAGATGATCATCTTGGCTGATCTGATAGTAGCCATCTCCATTGTATTTGTGCATCTTCTTGCTATTCAGTGTCACTTGACTTTATCGTACACAATTCAAACAGGTACAAAACACAAATTTAATCAGATTATTCAGAGATAACTTGGCATCCAGGGCTCAAACAAGCAGACCACAGTAGGTGGCAGTAAGAATGTAAGAACTTGCAGATCTAAAATCCATTAGTTTCTAAAAGCTTGTTTTCCAGAAGAATTGCTCCAGTAAAAGAGAATTTGAATGAGGCTTTTTCTTTTTTTTTTTTTCTTTCTCCTGAATTCAGACTTTTTTCAAATAATCCTGGAAAAAGAGTAGCCAGGTGTGAAAGTTAAAGGACAGTCAAAAAGACACAGAAGGAAATGTTAACTTCTGTTTTTCTGATTAAATGTTTGGATATTATAATGGAAGATGAGACAGGATAATGTTTTAGTTTTTATCCTTAAAAGCCTATGTTTAGTGCACCTCAACCAAGTAGTAATTAATGGAGTGTTTTGGCTTCCTTACTGAAGTACAGCAATTCAGTAGGATCTGATCAAGAGAAATCTCTTGCTAGAACTAGCTGAGGTACTTTAAAAAATCATGTGGAGATCAGTACTTTCATGAACATCAAGATTATATTCACATGAAAGCAGGTTAAATTGTTACATTTTCATAGGTGATCTTCAGTGTAACACCTCACATTTTGGAGTTTTTCTGCTTTCTTAAACATGAGAATTAACATTTTTATGCCTGGTGCATAATGACACTAAAATTCTGTTTTGTAGTCTGTCAATGACATTTTTGTATTAGGGTGAGATCTTTAGTAAAACATACTACTGTGTTTTATTAACATTTTATTCAGGGTTGTTCTTTCCAGATTAAAAATTAAAGAGCTGTCTAAGTCCATTCAGTATGACATTAATCAGAAGCCTGGACATGACAGAATTCTGATAAGTTTTCTTAACTAGGGATTCTGAAAGGATCATGACAGTTTTGACTCTTTGATCTGTAATGTCTGTTGTCTTGGTTTGCTGATAATAGCTGCTAGACTCTAAAGGACCATCAGACGCTTATTAAAAAATTCTTATGAGGGTTCATAGTAACTTTAATGAATGTTAACATACAGGCTTGACTGTTATCCCAGGTGAATTTTAGAACAGCATTGGGACTACATTAAATTATGCCAATCTCTAACAGTTCAAATAATGTTAATACAGGATTTATATACAGCTAGCATGTATGATTTGCTTTAACCAAGACATGTCAAGTCCTAGGAGAAGTGGTGTGCAGCTAGCAGCCACATCTGAAGAATCCAAAATACTGATTACACAGTTTTCTTCATCAGCAATACTGAACAACCAAAATGAACAACCAAAGTGTGTGGGCCAGTGCGTTTATATAAAAAACAGAAGTCTGCTCTTTTTTTTAAATAATAACCTTAGGTATTTTTGTGGCTTAAACTTTATCAAGCACGTTAAAATAGATTAGTGTTCCCTAGTGAAGGACTATGAACATGTACAATTTCCTAACTGTGGAATAGATTTAAGGATTCGGAATGATATATACAAAATTGTACTATGTACAGTTTTAAAGGTTCAGAGACTTGATCAAGAATGAAAGTGTGCTATCTTAAGATTTTATGTCCTTGTTACAATGATTAATTAGATGTGTGTTGATCATCTCAGTTTTTGATGTGCTGACTATGTCTTCTTTCCATTTAGGTTTATTTAGCTCGAAAAGAGGGGTCATCCTCTGCTTACATCAGCTGGAAGTTTGAGTGCAAGTCAGTCAGTCTAAAAATAGATAACATTTCAGTTAGGACAAGCAGTCAGACATTTCAGAGTGGAAGAATAAAGTGGAGACTTTGCTCTCCAACAGCAGAAATTGCTCTGATAGGAGGTAAGTGTGTAATTTAAATAATGAATTATTTCATGCAGCAAAGGTGTAATTGGGAATAAATAGTTTATATGGGGAGAGCATTGTGCAAATACTAAAAACGAAATGCAAATGCCTTTTTTACTCTTCCAACTCAGTCTTTCTTAGCAAGGTCAAGAAAATACTGTGCTTTTAATCAAAACTGGTACAAAAAGCTGGTACAAAACCCAGTTTAATTAACATACACAGCCCTACCTGCAACAGAGCAGGGTCAGGAAGAACACAGAGTGAATACAAGATAGTTGTGTGTTTTACTAGGAAGGACAGATGCTTCCGTGTGTGGTGACTTCAGTCTTGACAAGGTCCTCAGAGCACGAGCACTGAACAAATAATAAGTAAAAATTTGCAGCTTTTTTTTTTTTTGCCTCTCGTTGACAGATGGATTTGAGTAGTTGCAACTGAGATCTTTAAATATTCATTACAACTTACCTTTTTTAACATGCATTCTAGCATTATATACTGTCTGGAGCAGTGACTTAATTGTTTATCTTTTCCTCCAATAGATAAAAATCTTTGCTCCTATTCAGATTTTTCTGGTGCAACAGAAGTTATGTTGGAAGCAACTCTAAGTGGAGGGGATGGTGAAGCTGCATGGCAACACACACAGCTGTTTAGAGAGAGCTTAACAGGATGTGGAGAAAATTGCTTGGAGATAATTATAAAACTCAGCGACCTCTGAGAACCTGAACTGAAGAGATGTTCTTTGGATTCCTTGAAAACGTTATACCATGGATACAAGATGAAGATTTGTTTGGCAGTTCCTGTTCATCCTTCTTGCAGCTTATTTCCTGTTTCACTTCTTCCATTTAGCCAACTTGAAACTGCACGTGTATTGAATAGGTAAACATCACAATGAAAACCTCTTCACTTTAAAAACAAACACCAAAATTAAGGGATTGAATCATTAAATACCTTTTTCTTAAACTATATGATGAAAAAGAAACAGTTTTTAGGAAGCAAAACATGATCATGAGAGCACAGAGCAATTGTAATGGATTTTAATTTGGAATTTTGGGGTTGGCTTGCTGGGGTTTTTTTTATAATCCACTCCTTGGAAAAACAGTTTGAATTCCATTTTCCAATTACAACGGATGCTTGTGATGATTTTATAATATTTTAAAGAATAATAGAAGACTTAGACATTTCAAAAGGAAAATATGACTGGGTAATAACTAGAAGAGATGAAATTAATATAAATTTTGAGGCAATCTTGAAATGATCTTGTTAGATATCTGAGTATTAAGCTTGCATTTAATACCTAGAAATGTTCGGAAATATGATGGTGTGCTAGGAAAATAAACTAATTTTGAAATAAGTGTTCATTATGTACCTAAAATTGTCATGGGTATTATATGAAATTGGGATTTAAAACTGAACAACATCAGAATTTTTTTTTCTATGAAAAAATAGATTATTCATTATAAATAGTTTATAATGATATAAATTCAGATTTGCCCACTTTTTAAAAGAATTATTAAGCATGTAGGTTGAAATCACTTTACAACCTATTGTCTTGAGTTGCTTTGAATACTATTCCCAAATTTGCTGTAAAAGTATACACAATTTTTCTGTTCATTAATGCAGTGTTTAAATTTCTTTTTATTGAATATAATAAAAACTGCCACCCAGGAGATTTCAGATGTAGCAGTGCTGTGAATAAAGTATGGAGTGAATGTTCAGATTAGGTAGTCTTTAGCAGAGAAATCGAGGAAGGCTATGTCTGGATTGTGCAAGAAATTTTCTATTATAGGACTATAATGCAAAGTTCAAATGATAGTTTTATTTTAACATAAGTGAAAATTAGGAATGATGTTCTCAAGATCAGTGCTTTTAAAGTTTTTATTCCTTGTTCTGGCCCTTCCAACCACTGTAATGATTTGAAATGATTGTCAAAAATAATTTTCGTTGAAATAAATGTTTGCTGACCTTTCAACAAACCTAAGCAAATATAAGACTGTTCAGATTTTATTAGGAAAATGCATATGCACAGTGAACGTAGACATCAAAATTATGCCACAGACATCTTAGAAAGTAGTAGATTATGTCAGTTTGGGAGTGACAGAATGATGTACGATGGATTATATACTTTGCTTCAGAATATAAATTGACAGTTTATGAGGGAGATTAGAAAGAAATAGTCTCACTTATTTAATACAGGACAACACAGCGGCAGGGAACTGTATGGAAGGGTGTTAATCGACGCTTGACTAATGCAAATTCATAAATTGAATTTGCCAGTCTCCATTCAAAACTCCTTCTGTATTTAGTTTCAGCTAAATGCTAGTTCTGAAATTTTGAGTGGGAACCCAACAGAAAAGTATTTTAGTCTAATCTGTATACTATGTTGGAAGAAAAAAGGCATAAAAAGAAGACTTAGTGACACCAATCAACAAAAATATTTCGTCTTCATAATTTTGATAGCTGTAGAAGAATCTGCTTTAAAACAGAAATTATTTCTTGCATCATATTACATAAAATAGAGGACTATGAGGATTTGCAGAACAGCTTAACTGCATTTGATAATTTGAAAGCAGAAGGCAGAATAAATTTAAAAGTAATAAGATAAAAGTAACTTTCCCACAATTTTGGCCAGAATCTCTGGGGGAAGAGTAGTAGCTGCAGATAACTTAAAGTCATCCACTCAAACTGGAGTAGTTGAAGTCCTTATTAAAATATTTGAATGAAATAAAAAGATGGAAAAATGCCTCGTCAATCTAATTAATCAAGAAGTACTTCTGTATTCGTAAGATCACATGCAAGGAATAAAAGTTTTATTTTAGGAAAGAATTAATGAGTGAAAAAACTCAGACTGAATAGAACTAATCTGAAAAAGTTAAATGGAACTCCTTCAGGTGTCTTTTGGAGTATCCTATAAACAGTGAACACTTTGAATCTCTTCATGCATAAGCTGTTTTAAAGGCACTAATTTCCTCTGTTGATCTCTATTTCCGTGCAACTGTTAATAAATGTTTAATTATTTTTTGAAACCAGAGGTAATTCCTCATCAATAGTAGCTTAATAATAGTTTACAGTATCCTGAAATTGCAATATTATATGGTGGAAAGATCTGTGCTGCAATGTGCTCTAAAAGAATGGGTATTTTAAGTTACTCTGGCAATGATGATACTGGTTGAATTGTAGCAGGTTTTGATCAGGGCATATGTAGCTAACAGTCAGTGCTTACTCAGCTACTTAGAAGTTTGAGGAGGGAGAGGTTAAACTGGGAAAGAAAAAATATTGTTGACTAGAAATGTATTGCTTAATGTCAACGTAGGTAACACGAGCAATGTTTTCTAGAATTCGATTTACTCTGGTGCATTTTCAAGACTTACTAGCTCTCCAGTGTGCCATGGGTGCCTTCCCAAGCTGCACTGAGATGTAACAGTGAAATCTTTTCAAATCAAATTTTACATAAATACTATACTATCCAGTTAATGCTTGCAAACTAATTTTGGAGTGCATGTTTTCCAACAGAACTGTGTGAGAGCCTGTGCACAGAAGTCCTCCTTTCAGACAAGCATTTGTTGTACGCACTGTTGTCTCTTTGCAGTCGATCATACAGCTGTTCATTTCTTCATATCCTGTTTTGACTCTGAATGCTGCGTGCAGAATAGCAACCACTAGTGGCAACCCACAAAATTGTAGTAATTTCCTACACCCCAGGAAGTGGCTGGGAAAATGTATCTTTAAAACATATGAAGGAAGCCCCCTTGTAGGCAGTGTAGAGAGAAAGCACAGGTATGCAGGAATCAAGCAAACTTCATTATAAATTATATACTTGCACTGAGAAGTGCATCTCGTATGATCCTGTGTGATAATCTGTTGTCTTTACTCATCAGTTATCCACAGAAGATTGTTCACATATAGTGGCTTAGACATGAGATATAATTCCTATTATGTGCAACATCAGGAAATGTAGAACACTAAAAATAAAGTGTGTTTGTCTCCATAGCACAGTGGAATGAAAACAGATGGTAGGCAGCACATATGGCTGCCAGAAGCTGGGAACACCCGTTTGCAGAGTTCTTGCAGCTCAAAACAAAACAAGCCAAAACAAAGGAGCTCCAAGGGGGCAGAGATTGTTCCAGGCAGATATCAGGATGTCTGTCCTCCATGCCCACACTCCCCATCTCTTTACCTTTGGTTGCTTAATCTAGAAATGGAAGTATACTACCAGTTAAGAATTTGCTGTACCTTCTTAGTATTTGCCAAAACTTAGCATTTAAGTACAGACATTATTTAAAATACATCTCTAATTTCCACCATAGGTTCAAACCTCTGGTTTTGGACAAAATTTAAGATTTTGTCAGTGTTCTGTAAGCAATTCAACAACTTAAAAAATGTGTCAATGTTGAAAGAACTTCTGTGTCATTGCTTCATATCATATGGAGGGTCAAGAAGCAAATTACAGACAGGTGGCTTCCTTAAACACAGTTGGTAGAATAGACCTGGGTCCTATATATACTTTGAATATTTTTTAGAAGTTATTCAACATTAATGGCAGTAGTTCAGCTTACTTTGTGCTAGCTTTTAAGGTTATTTCGTGGGGTACTATCATTGCCAGCAATGCTTTATGCCTTGCAGCTTTCACTCAAGGGGGCAAGTGAAAAGGGGCAGCGGGGCGCACAGGCAGTGCTGCCGCAGCCTGTGCAGGGAGCATCGGTCGGTGTCAGGCTGTAGGTTTTTTATTTTTTTGTGCCAGGGAAGGTTTAGACTGGATATTAGGAAAAATTTCTGTACGGAGAGAGTGGTCAAACATTGGAACAGGCTGCTGAGGGAGATGGGGGAGTCACCATCACTGGAAGTGTTCAAAAACATGTAGACGTGGCACTTTGGGACATGGTTTAGTGGACATGGTGGTGTTGGGTTGATGGTTGGACTTGATGATCTTAAAGGTCTTTTTCAACCTTAATGATTATGTGATTATGGCTTCCCTAAACAATTAGCAGTGATCTTATGTTTACTGATCGTTGGTCACATAGTGTTGTCAATATGGGTGGAATGAAAGAGTAATATCGCTAACGTGTGGGATAAGATTATGTGCTTTATGCTAATCTTGAGTATTTAACCCAAGCAGAAAGACAGTAAAAAGTAAAAAAAAAAAAAAAGTCTTTAGTAGGTTGATACAGTTTCTTCTTCCCTGAAGTTATTAATTTCAGGAGTAGAATTTTGAGACCTCCCATCCTTCATGCAACACTTAAGAACGGCCAAGTAACAAGCCAAACAGCCTCAAATATCTGTATTTTAGGTGTACAGATACTATGAAATGTGTAAGGGTCTAAATGTGACTGTCTACCTGTCTGAATAAGAGAACAGGGTTTTTTGTCCTTTGTTTAGATTTTTATGTTTATTCTTAGGCTTTTTTTAATGGTAAGCTTTGTAATTAGGCTATTAGCTTTGTTTGTGATTAGCCTGCTTTGGCTTCTGCAGCTGTATCTTTTTCTATAGGCTCCATCTAATTTGAAATACATTTTAATTTGCTTTTAATTTATATAGAGAATTGCAACTGGATGGTAAATATACTATGACAAAATTGAATTAGTTTCTTTACTTTTATTTGGTAATAGGAGACAAAAGGGATAGATTAAAAATATTCAAACTCAGAAAAAAAAAAAAAAGCAATAATAATTAAAACTGATGACACCCAGAAACCAACAAAAATACCAGGACTTAATAAAA